TAAGGGAAGTTGACGATAGAATAGTTAAAGTCAACACGTTTATCATAGAGTTTGGTTGTTAGATTTTTATGAACGTCTTTTTCAAGTAAAATATCCAAATATGAACACATGTGTCAGAGTCTGTTATCTTTTACTAGTATCTTAATCTCATATTTTGATACACATTTTGAATTTTAAAAAGGTTTTTCTTTATTAAACATAAATTGCGAAGTAAAGAAGATTGAATTTATATATTTCCATGGACACTTAAAACGACATAGTTCAAATATTTTTAAGGTTATGATTATAAGAACCAAATATAAAAAGAAAGAAAGAAAATGGGTCAAAGGGTGCACTATTTGTATATCTCTGATGTGAATTTTTTTTATTTTAAGAGTAATTGCATTACAATTTATTTATGCATTCACTTGCTTTTTAATTCTTCCTACCAAAGTTTCTCAAAGTTAACTTTATCATGAGACATAATGCGTTTAATCTCATGTTTGCTTTTAAAACTATATTTAAAACTCTAATGACTATCAATTGATCACAATACAAGTTCCTCGTCTCTTACTTAAAACTGCTATGACTTGTGAACGATGAAATTTATTTTTCAACATTTAAGTGGTAATACTCTGACATTTTGTTTGAACTTTGGTCTGAAGCCATTTGCAATGAGATTTCAACGATATAGTTATGTTGTTTGACATGTCTTTGAGCTTGAATTTAATACATTAAGGAAGAACATTCTTTGGACAATGGACTTTTAATACAACTTAAAATCTTTGCTATGGCCTACTGAAAAGGAATAGGGACTTACAATAGTTCACATTTAAATAGTTACATGCATTTTCCTAGATAAATAAAGTACAGTAGTATTAGTATTTACAGGAAATTAATAAGAAAAAAAATATATTTTGGAGATCGGTTTCTTTCCTTTCAGCGTATAATTAATTGTCATTGTCTGGCTTTCCATCTCTTCTAAAAGCAAATTATTCTATAGATTATTAGTCATTTTTTTCCTGGAGATTCATTTACTTTCCGCCGGATATGTCTTTCTGTTTGTCGTTTATCCAAAAAAATTACTTTGAAGGATGCCGACAACACAGGCGAAAATAAAAAGCTTTAGACAAGACATTTCCTTTTCAGCCTTCTAAGAAAGACAAAAACAATCAATAAGAAATGGCTTACAGTATAAACTCACTGTCTGCTTCACTGACCTCTATGTTAAATTTTACCAATTCCAAGTCTCCAATAATAATAATTTCTAATCCAACAGAAGAAAAGGGAAACAACCTGTATGTAGTTTTCGTTGGCTACTATTCTAATTAATTTATATTTAAAAGAAATGTTCATTTTTTCATGTTTGTCATTAAACCCTGAAATGATCCGTATATCGCTACCTGCATACTGGGTTTTATCTTTCTTCTAACTAGGATCAGTTTTCTATGTATTTCCCTTCAAAAGGCTAATAGGCAAATTATACATTTGACAGCTAAAAATGTCCTTAATATAGATTTGAAGAAAAAAAACTACATGTATTAATACGTTGAACAATTTTTTACAGTCAATTGAACAAAATTTTATTTAGAACAAAAGATTTTCCCAAGAATACAGTATCCAAATTTTCTTATTGCATGCAGATAAAGTCAATTCTCACATGTGGACGAATTCGAAATACAAAAAGATTAAAGGTACAAGGGACATTTTAAGACGGTTTTTTCTTGTGAATTTTGACTGGTTTTCGAATCCCCCATATGATTCACGAATGTTTATGATCACATATTCTTGCCTTATATCATACTCCGTTGCTGCAAAATTTGATTACTTATTCTGTAACAAAGCCATTAGGAGTAGGTGTCTATCAATTCCTTCTCAATATGGGCCTATTATTATGCATTCTCTTTGTGATATCATCCAAGAGTCTTCTCGCCGAATTAATGCGGAATTTATTTGATTACCAGTTATATTTTCCTTTATAAGCAGGTGTCACGTTGCCTTTATTCATTCATGCAAGAGACTGATAATGGCTGTTATATAAAGAAATACAAGATAATAATTAAACAGTGTACTAAACGAACTGCAGTCTTTATTATTACTGTGAGAATGTTCACCGAGAATGATAAAGTCATTTTACCAGTAAACCCCTCTGGACAGTATGTAGTGCAAAGTTGAGGTTTATTCATACTGCACACTCTGTACATTATCTGTTTTTTGGTTATAATGCTAAACTTGCAAAATTTGTATTGTTAACCTGTTTTAACCGATTTTAATATGAAGTATACAAAATATAATACACTGAAATTCACTGTAAAAACTTTAAATTGGAAAACAGTAAAATCTTTGATTTTATAATTAACTATATTTAACTGTAGTAAGCTACAGCTACAGTTCACTTTATTAGTTTTACTAGTTCGGTAGGGCACACGAATATGAGCATTTAAAGGGGGAAATGTTTTAAAAGTTCTACGCAAGACATGATTTGTCATATAAATAAGTATACTCAGACAGTGGAGATTAAAATTTGTTCAAATCAACATTTGACCAAGTAGGATAGAATCATAACAGGGTACCAATTCTTAAAGTATGTTCGTAAAATATTTCTGAAGATTTCTCCCGTTAACTTCTTCGGAAAAATTATCTTATATTGGGGACCTGTGAGTGATAATTTTAATAATTTATATCTACACTATATAGAGGTTTTTGACTTAAGTCTCTATTTTGGTCCAATGCATTTTCAATAGGATTTAGTTTAAAGTTTTTTCATACGTTTGCTTTTTCTTTACAACTTCCTATCAGAAAAGAGAATTTTATTGCGAGGATTGGCACTTTGCAAGATATGATGATATTTTTTTTATTATTTCTATTGTCTGAGAAAATCATGGGATAAGAGGTAGAAACGAATTTAAATATGTATTTGAACTGTTTCAGTAGAATCTATGATCTCTTAAACTAATTAAATAAAACTAATCAAGATAAAAGCGATTTTGAATGTAATATGATTATTCATAATAATGTTTATCACTTTTAATATATAAAAGAACATACAAGCATAAGCATATTTCGAAATCCTTTAATAAATGAAGTATCAAGAAAATTACGTTATTTTCCGAAAAGTATTCAAGCTTAAATGTCATTTCAAACAATTCAAATGAGAAGCAGATCAAACCTGAATCTCTAAAGCTTCAGAGGTGGGATGAAGAAGTGGGAATCCCCTGTCGACAATTCACTAACAATGCGTGTTCATAGGCAACATACTGGCCTAACAAGAAGTATAAAAATTTTAGTTAGTACTTGATTTAATAATGTATTGTATTTGCTAACAAGGTAATTGTATCGACCATAAACTTGCTAAATGATTTCTTCAAATGAAATTGTTAAAAATATTCTTATTTCTTAAACTTATTTGTAAGTAACTTGCCTCGTTTTAAAAAAAATATAAGGAGCTCTTCAGTATATATTCCACAGAGAAATATTAATAAAATTTGCAGGTGATAATGCTATATTGCTACAAATATGTAAATAAGGGAAGTTGACGAAAAGGTAAGTTCATCACGTTTGTCTTAAAGCCTTGTCCATGTAGGTAGGTTACTACCAAAGTATTTCTCCCGTGAAATATCTGAATATGAAACAGATATGTTAGACAATGTAGTATTATCTTTTGTTTCAAGCGCATGGGATATACAAGATTGTGTCAGGTGGACATATGAATGGAAATAAATATTGTTAATTTATTATACTTCTTTGACCATGAAAATGTAAAGTTGAATCTCACAGCCAGTGTTTACTTGTTGCCATGGAAAGGAATATTGTGAATTAATTATACTCCGTTGACCTTTTTAAATGAGTTCAATGTCATAGTAAGTTTTTCCTTATTCTCATATACAAGTACATGTATATTAAGATTTTAAAGAAAATCGGCTTTATTACATGAATCCCAAAAAATTTTGGGGGGCGTAATAAATAATAATGGGTATCCACTGACAGATTGTTGGAAGATTTGTTTTTCAAAATCGACATAGATAAGGTGATCAGAAATTTCATTTAAACATCTTTTTAATATAAACTTCAGACTAAATTTCTTGCATGTAAATAGAAATGTTCTGTTCAAATTAACTTTGCAAAAACCACTGACAAAGTAAGTCAATTAACAAGTTACATTTTAAAAAAAAAAAAAAAAGAAAGCAACTTTTAGTCCTGTCAAAAAGCCAATGCTTTAGTGTATTGAATAGTTGAACAAAGTGTTAAAATGTGAATTTTTGAGCTATTGATTTTATTTGATTTTAATAAATTTTGTGTAATTTCATTTTTTAAAAAAAAGTTCTTTGGAATTTTTAAGTATCCGCATCTCATTTACACCGAGTGTGAAACCGACGATTTTCTTTTCATACAGTAGAACATTTGCATTCTGATTCGTGGAATAAATCAGATTTGAGATTCTATTTTCTGTAACACGATTAGGTATGCGTTATTGTAACTCATAGGGCAGTGTCACGAGAACTCGGAATATTTATTGTACTTCAATGTCGAACAAAGGAGGCCACTATATATCTGACAGAGATTTCCGCCTATCGACCCTTCTGGTTGATGAATTTGGCGAGTAAATCGATTGGTTTACTGGTATTTCACAAGCTTTAGAAGACCTTCAAACATAGTTGTTCTGTCTCTGTTAGGTCCAAAACCTGACTTATTATTGCAACGGTGTTAGCAACCCAACTGACAAGAACTAATATATCATTTGCGATAAATCTCTGCCTCTTAATTTAGTCGAAATAAAAAAGAATATTATTTGCTAATTCTATTCACAAATTAAATCAATAGAATATAAAAAGAATTTTAAAATGGCCATCCAAAAAATCTTAATATGCATCTTAGAAAATTGACTTAAAAAATATTATTGAAATATTTAATTTAGATACCATGCTATTTTCATCATTTTGAAAGAAAACAATTTCTGGAAATCGATCTGTAGCATAATGACGTCACTCGATCGTCAAGAAATGTTCATGATCGGTCCAATGTAGAAGAATTGCTCTTACCCCCGTGCCATTCAAATGCAGACTCTATGTAAAGATTCCTGTCTTAAGATATATAGATTGTTACTTTGAGAAGCTAGTAAGATACGGCATTGTCCATGCAGTTTTCGAGCAGTATTGAATATTTCTTCCCAAGAGGATTATGTGTTATACATGAATATTGGTAACTAGCTTGTAATGGCTTCGGACGCAAGTAAAACAGGTCTGAGGGTGATTCAAAATGCTCCAAGAAATTTAAACGATGAAAAAGCAAACGATAATTTTAATGTTCCTTTGGAATACGATGAATCGTCTATTCATAAGGTAAGGTTTGGGGTGTTAAAAAACTTGTTTTATTTCACGTTTAACAATACATTAATTGCATTAATAAATTAATTAATTAATCAAAAATGATGTGTATGCTAAACCTTCTTGCGTTTTACTAAAGGAATCATGTAACCCTTCTCAAGCTGCTAATTAAATCAAAATACTCATTAAATATTCCAATATTGATGTCATACAGAATAAACAATGACTGTTTATTTTATGCTTAAATATTGAAATGCATTTAATCTGCAAAAATAAAATGCTGTTTTAATCTTACAATTTTCAAGGAAGTTTATGGATCAAAGTTCGACAGAATTTAAAACGAGATGAGAGAAGGTTTTAATATATTAACTAAGCAGTGTCTTGTGTAATGTAAAACTCATTAACAGTTGCTTTAAGTAAAACTGTATTGATAAACATTTTAAAGTCTCTGTTCGGCTTATCATCGATTACACAAAAGATGAATGAAAATAGCAGCATCACGTGACTTAAGGGCAGAATTATGCTCTCATCCCAATACTCCAACAAATTTAAATTACTCTGAAATATGGATATAGGGAATAGCAATCAAGCTTAAAAGTCCATCAAGATAATACAAATTTGAAGCAGAGCAAAGGCGGATCTCGAAAAACACGTGGAATCAGGTGCCATTGAAGAGTGAGCATCTCCTGTTGACCGATCACAACCGCCGCGTGTTATTTAAAAGTCGAAACAAAGGTGAATAACAATGATACCATGTCAAACATAACTCAATAAGGTTGTGCATTACAAAGAATCATGGGGCAAGAAGGACCTGGATAACATGATTTGATAAATTGTTCATTCTCATGCGTATAAATGTTGAGAATGGTTAGTAATGGTTTTATCATGGAAATTTCGATTAAGGGTCCCCGTTACAGATAAGGATATATGATCTTATTATGATCTAAAGCAAGATTTTCTCCTGTTTTAGTCCAGTCTGCACAGTTTAGTCCAGTCTGAACGCCTACCTTCTTTACATCTGGAATACCATTATTGCTGCCAAAGCATATTCTGGTGTATTTCTGCTCGAATCAGACTGTCTCCATTAGAAACAATTACTTGATATATCTTGTCGATATTTCAATGTTTTTTTTCTGGGGGAAACATTCTATCTACATTTCTTCACAATATACTTGCATTATAAATAATAAAAAGAGACTACCGAGAATTGCAAGGCTCCGTAATGAGATTACTCACATTAAGGTCTAAATTGCAAAGGCAGGACATGAGCAGTCCTTCAGTTTCCCATTCCGCCTTCTTCCGTTGATTTTATCGACAAAAGGCAATTTTTGCGGCTTTTTAATGATTGAATCAGAACGATAAGTGGCTTTCGTGTGCACCTAGACAGCCATTCTGATGCATGGAGAATAGCAAGGATGCAAAGCAGGAAAAAATCCTCTAATTAATTACTCTGTCTCTGCAATTTTGACGTGAAACAGTTATTGCAATATTCGGTTCTATGCAGACATTATAATATCTAGTTCTATACCATTCCATTGGCATTAATGATTCATTAATGATTCATTGGATTTCATATCAATGTTTAACGCTCGTAGTTATACTTTAATACAAAACTAAACAGAAATTGTATAGAGCAGAATTATCAACTGTCGATATAATTATTTTGTATTATAACCCATCATATCTATCTATGTAATAAAAAACAAATTAGTTCTTATTGCGCTGTTGGTTTACATAATAAATAACAATATCAATAATATAATACGACCTGGTTAATATTGTAAGATGTACTAGTAACTCAGTTATTGTTCTTAATGATTGTATTTCAATTACTAGTACTTTCATCCAATTTTAACTGCTAATATTACATTCATATGTTTTTAAGGTAGACCCTGTGAGTTTGTTGTAAACTTGTTATTTTTCAACATTAAATGGATTTTGTTTTTGATCAAGAAGAAATAAATATATTTTAAAGACTTTTTCGCCTTCATATTTCAACTATTTACCATAAACGACAACTTGGACATTAAATTTTGGAATGCAAAGAAATGTTGAATAGTACATGTAATTAATTTGAATATCAGTGTGAAAATCATGCACTATGTAATTATTTTCACTAAATTACAACTCCTTCTTCATTACATAATAGGAATAAATAATGTTATTCTTTAATTGATTGATTGATTGTTTGTTTTAACTCCCTATTCAAGAATTTTTCACTCAAATAGAGACATTAACATATACCGTTAAGGACTTCAAATGTAAACTAGCTAAGTCTGACACTCGGCACTCAGGGTCATTACTTAAACACTGAAGTTTGTCGCGCGGGTTCGAAACTCACTTTGGGACGTGGAGACCAGTCCTTTGGATGAAACCGAATATAAACCGAGGTTCCCGGTCGCAATAGGTGATGGCACGAAAAAGATTCCTTACAGCTCAATGGCCCTTAGTGCCGAGTATTGGACAAAATTTTTGGCTCGCCACTGGCAAATAAGTGGTGGCGTCTCCATTAGAGTAGAAAATTATCAAGAGGGGCGTTAAAGGGGTACGGACAAAGTTTCAGCTAGAAATGTTCATTTTTTTCCTTTCTTTTATTTACAAATACCTGACTAAAATATTTCTAATGATCATCAAAAATTTTATTGATTGACTGTTTATCAACTGTTTAACGTCCTTATCGAGAATTTTTTACTCACATGGAAACCACTTTACGGTGGATCGAGAGCTGCAAATTTTGTCCAGTACTTGGCACCTAGGGCCATTGAGCAGGGAGGATCAACTCCTTACTTCGCGACTCTAGAGCAGACGCTCTAACCACTGTGCCACGCGAGCGACTCAAAAAAATTGTGTATTTCGGTTGTCGATTTACAAGACAGAGTTACAGCTCGAAATCTTTGTTATGTACATGTATATAAGGCCTTTGCTATGTTTTTGTTTGCGTTGGTTAAATATACTAATTTATGTTCATTCAAAGTAGATTTTTTCAATTAAGACATTAATGCTAATACGATTAGACAGTTTCTAGGGATTTGCTGATTCTCATTTTGTTTCTAATATGTGATTTTCTACAGGTTAGCAAAAACAAGGTACGAGCCCTGTTTACATTATAAAGAGTTTATAGTTCTGTATTCTCTTTGAAACTCAACAAATGATGTTCAAATTTTTGCTGATCATAAGAATTACCTTCGTTAGGAATTGTAAACATTAAAACAGTTATTTTAAAAAATCAGTTGAAACTGTGTCCATATCCCTTTAAATAACATACAATCGTCCGAATGACCTGTAACTTTGACTTTTATTGTTGGTCCAGTTTCTATATGAACCTTTGTTTACGTCTTACGTTTGAGGCGGCGTAGCGAACGAGAATCGAATTGAGATCAAGTACTGTTTTTAAAATACTCATTGATACATATTCATGCAAGTACAAATGACCCTAAAATATGCACTGGACCTGGACAGACGTGTAAAGTTATTATATTGATGGAGGGCTGTGTATTTTGACACTTTTCTTGTGCTTGAATGCTCAATAAAGCAAAAATACACTAAATGTAAATCAACAAGACATTTTAAATTATTATGTATATAAACATTCACTTACATAAAATACACTTATATAGTCATTGAAATGTACATAAAACAAAAAAGTGTGTATTAAATATAGAGTCTATCACTGTCATTAAATCATAATAAATGTAAAAAATGGTTGATCGAAGTCAACTGAAGGAAATTTCCTAATGTAAGTATTGTATGTCTTTCTTTCAGACAATCTTAGTCGGAGACAGCGGAGTGGGAAAAACATCACTTCTGGTACAGTTTGATCAGGGAAAGTTCCAGGCTGGGTCATTTTCAGCAACTGTTGGAATAGGATTTACGGTAAGTTCAGGTGTGGGAAAATTTATTTCAAATAAACAATTGTACATAAATCTTGCTCAACCGCGCTCTTCTTGCGAGAGTATATCTTAGCAAAAGAGTCTGGCTGATAAAAATTTCAGAAACCATCTGATCGTGACATTGGCAATATACACGTACGTAATGTACAACGCTTTGATTTTTAAAAACGTTTTAACCTTTAGCACAATGGTGTGCTAACGTGTTTCTGGGTGACGTGTCTTTGTTGAAAATTTTTATTTATTGCAACTACTTAATCTTAATCTTTTTGAAGTCGTAAGATTTTGTTTTGAAAGGGAATATTGTGTAATTCTGCCATCAATGCTGTATGTTAATTATTGGAGACAAGCATTTGTAATACATTTTTAATGCAACAGGATATTGTTGCATTTTGTTCAATTAAACATGTCAGAGAAAAGCTCTTTTGTCACTTTGATGCATCAAATATTCTAAGTACAAAGTACTAGCGGCACAAAGGTATGTTCACCAATTGCAATTCTTCAAATCATAAAAAAAAGCTATCCAAACAAACCTTTGAATTTTTAACAAGAGCAAATCGATCCGTAAAATTACCATTTCTTTTTTTTTTTTTTGGAAAATAGAGTAACGAGCCAATGTCATTAAAATCTTCATTTAAAACAGGATAACTTGTAGAGATCGTTCCAAAGCAGGGGTTTATTTGCTTTGTTGATCAACTCTGATATCAAGCTAAACAGACTCAGAGCAAGAGTTTTATGATGAATTGTCGTTAATTTTTCATGCCAGTTTGATCGGAAAAGCTTTAAGCAAGCTCATATTGTCAGAAAGTGTTGATCGATGTATCGATTTTTTTTTTTGGTCTGCTGATACAAATTCATACACAGAGGAAAGATTATTGATGACACTGATGTAATTACTACTTTTGCTTTCAGTAGATGTTCTAATCTCTGTCGATATGGTGCTTTAAAGGAATATTTCAAGGCTTACTGTGGTCTTTCTTGGCGTCAGCTTCTGTGAAATTATTTTTTTAATCATGCCATGAAAAATGGGAATTCAGTTCTATAAATGTAAAAATTGATTGATGAGATAAGGAATTCTACAATAACAATTTTCCTTAGGCTTCATGTATACATAAAGCAAGTTTTGTTCCTGATATTTGAATCTTTGATAAGGGCTTAGTTTGATATTTTTGGCACAAAATAATTTGCAGAAAATACCGGAGGCCACTTGTCATATTTTTTCAAAGTCTCATTTACATTTATTTCAAAGTAATGTTATATAACATTTGACGGCTAGCGCTTTTAAAGAATAGAAATCGCAATTATTATAATCCAATAAACAATTCATATTTCTGTATATTTCTTCAAAGTCTATTCAAATGCTTGGACTGAAAAAAAAGGTTTATCTGAACAGTTGGTGAAATTTTGATATTTGGCTTATGCAGCCTGGATCAAATTCATCGCACCTTGGCTACCTTGAAACAGTTCAACTTTATGGTATATAACCTGAAAGCAGTTTTTTCTTCCTCTACCACATAAGTTGAATGATTTCTGATATTCAGTACTTTATAAATTACGCATACTTTTAAAGGCAATAGAAGTGAAAGCCGCGAGTTTTTTGGAAATAACATTAAACGCAGTTCCTGTGTCACGATTGGCGTTGGTACGAGGAGTAACATTCATGCTCGATGACCCAAAGTACCGATTATAGGACTTTTGAGGCTTTCCATCGGTATTTGGTGACGTTTCGGACGTGTAAAAAAAATAACGCGAGGGATGCAGAACTACAAAGAACCAATCAATCAATACAGCTCTCTTTCTCAGTTAAATATTTTGAAGTTAAGGCGATAAAACATCAAAAAAAATTAAATACAGCCATTTTTGGCAGGATATTTATCATTATTTTCGTGAGAACAATCATATATGTAATGAAAGTCAGAAATTTTCTGTCTTTTATGTTTACAATTATTAAATACACTATTATCCTCTGCGTGTTCTCTAATTACTGAGGGATATTTCACAGACAGTATAAATGAGATCTCAAAAATATCCATCAATAAACTAATTGTAAACTGTCATTGGATTTCCATAAAAACCAGTTTTGTCTCTTGATTATGATACAGCTCTCCGTCACTTCCTGTGGCTGGGATCGGTTGTCTCTCCTGATTGACATGATTTAATTAAGACGTGATATTTATGACAGACTGGAAGTTTTTGTCTGGATATTCGTCTAAGGCGTATTGAAATTCAGTGTACTTAAGATATCTTTATCTGAGAAATATGAAACAAACGTACGTAAATTCAAAGTATTTTATTACCTAATCAAGTGAATTTTGTTGTTTTATTAAAGATTTAATATTTTCATCTATTCTGTAAACTTTTCAAAGTATTCGGTATTGTCTTCGGTCAATCAGTCGTTGTCAATATGCAACCGGTAACATATTTTGGATTTAGTTGTTTGTAACAATGCACAGACATGGTAAACAACAATCTTATTTGATCTTTTAACATTGGTTTTAAAAATTGTAAGGTTTCAATGGTCGGGTATTTTATTTAATGAGAGTTACTTTAATTAATACATTGTGGGACGTTGAGACCGGTTCTTCGGGTGAGACCTATAAACAGAGCAGTAGGTGCTCTGCTGACACGAAAAAGGTCCCTCTCCACCGGGAAGTGGTGGCGTCTCCATAAGAGTGAAAATTTTTCGAGAGGAATGTAAACAATAGTCTATACAATCAATCTTTAATTAATATTACAGATACACCATATCTAGGTATAAATTTACAATATGGTACGGGAACCTTCTTTACTGAATATACAGTTGTGAACACTAATTACGGAAAATAAAATTAGGTAATAAAACAATTATTTAATACCTGAGCAGTCAATAGACCAGAAAATTTTTCCCTCGGTGCAGGGAACAGCTCAGTGTGAATGACTAGCCATATGTCTCGGGAAAAATATTCTTCTCTTCGGGCATTAAATAAAGAATTTTTAAAATTGAGAGACACATGTCAATAATTTGATGTTAATGATAAAATTTGTGGCAATTAATCACAGTATATTGGTTTATAAAATGTGTACTTTTTTTTTACATACCAATTGCAAGTTAGAATTTTTAAAAAATTTTATAATAAAACATAAAATACCTGTGAATTAATGTGCTTCAAGAATGACTAGCCATATATCATTCTTCTATTTTCTCAAAAGAATTTTTTAAAAAAAACCCACACATTTCAAGAGTTGTAAATTCACAGTAAATTGAAAATGTTTTACTTGCAAATAACTAGTATGTTAAATTTTATTAATATCAGCAGTTTTTGCAATAAGATGTCTTCTTTGTCAGATTTACTAGTTAAAAACTTACAAACATAAAATATTATGTTTCGATATTCTACAAAAAAGATTGCTAGACAATGTATAACTGTTACAATAGGATATAAGTGACCATCAGAAGGGAAACCATGGTGTATATATGTGTGTGTAATTCTGAAGCCGTGATGCTTCATGCTTTTCACACATATTGGAGAGAGAGTGGAAAAGTATTCTGGGCGCCGCGTCCATGACTTTCTCAGAGCAAAATGTATTCCCAAACCTTGTTGAGAATTTCATAGACTTTGTCAATTTGTGACTTGAATAATTTATTAAGCTGCTTTCCATGCCATTAATCCTTGCAGTCTATGAGTAAGCACCCGGAGTTGTGCTCTCTTCCTTAGTCTACAAGGAAACGAATTGGTTGGATAGAGAGAGAGAGGAAAAAACAATTCTATATTTTATCTCCTTGGATAAATATAAGGAAGACGAAAATGATTGAAGTGTCTTTTGTAATCAAAAGTTTCCAAATGAAATGTTAATGAGAAATTATGACATTCGTCTCTCGTGTATTTGATCTATAGTTCTGAGATAATCTTCGAACGCAGGCTTGCCGGTTTTAACGGATTAAGAAATAAGAAGACGCACGGCGGGTTCTCCGACTGTTATATCCAGGCACTGAAACCAGGAAATTCTTTTGATTTCTCATCTAAGAAGACTGCTCAATGAATGATACTTTTGGAAAAGCAGAAAATGACACTGGGGATTTTGATGGTCCTTGTTATGAGGTAAGGTTTTTAAATTATTTTCCTAGATTTTGTGTACATTTTATTTTGTAATCACTAATGGCATGAGAAACAAGTAGGTCTTAAAACAGGTTATAAATGGAGTAAATAACACCATCACTGAATTGACAGAAGCAGTTACATCGGCATTTTTTTTTTATTAAAAAATCATATACATGTGTAGTTTTATTATTACGGTATATGATTAAATAAATAATTCTACACGCCAAACACATGCTCCATCCATTTCACATTGGCAATTTTTATATATAAATACTCAGTATGTCCGATATTATTATTGACTTCCGGAACACAGAACAATAATGAGGTTGTACAGGTTTGCTTAGTTTTTGCTTAGAATGAGGTTTCTGTTGCTATATAAATGTAGGATGATTTTATTTTTAATCTGATTTTTCATATTTTCGCCAAGAATTATTGTTAGTCTGGGTTTTTCGTGATCGGTTGCGATTGAATACCGGCAAACGTACAATTGCAAGTGTTTGTAAGTACAGTTCACGACGAATTACTTTAAAGCCATATGTGGCGTAACTGATCAAAAAAATATATTTTTGAAAAATACAAAATTAAGTAAAGAAATATAGTTGATACATTTAAATTAAAGCTTTTCATACAATTCCCCACCCCCGTTTCATCTAATAATACGATTTTATCTTCTCTGTAATGTGTTATTTAAATCTTTTGTATTTTCTTCCCATTTCAAATTAAATTGTGATATCTTTATAACGCAATTGATTTAGATTTTGTAATTTACGGAAAAGTTGATTTTATATAAAGTAATGATACAAATAATAAGTTCTTATAATTTTTCCAATAATTTTGTGTACAACATATATGGGAAAAGGATAAGATATCACAATTTAATGGAATTTTCTGGACTCGGAAGAAAATA